TCGAACCGCAGTCAAGTCTGAAGTGAAACCGTATTTCTTTTACGCAACCATACCGATTCTCGCTCTGAATTCAAATCATAAAGTTGGTGAGAAACGATCACCTCTCTTGTAAGCGTCGAGCAGAACGATTGCTCGTGAACCGCGCGCGCACCAACGGCGCTCAATTTGGAAATTGGTGTCCATTGGAATTGGAAATGAAATTTCGTAAACGTACAAATGTGGAGTGGCAAATAGGGTTGCAACACTGGTTACATCCGTAAAGCGCGGCCAATGTACCGTGTGCACGGCGCGCGCCATCGATCTCGTGGGAACCGATTTATGTTTACGAGTCCACACGGTGAAGCAAACGACGCTATGTAAGGAGAAAGAAACTCCCATGTATTTCTTTTCATTGTTATTGTAACCGTATAAAAATTCATCGGAAATAGAAGATGTTTTAGCAACAAAATAAATATAAGCCGTATGAATATAATCGTAAAGAAATGTTATCTTTAAAAAGATAAAAACGTTATAAATCACTTACGTTATTATCTTCTTAAAAGGAAATAAATATATATTTTTAATTTAAATTCAATTAAATAAAATAATATTAAATTAAATTAAATTAAATAATATTAAATTAAATTAAATTAAATAATATTATTTTCGCAAAATATAAGTAAATATTGTACTAACATAAAAAGATTATCAAGATTCCTTTTTAAAAAGAATATATTTAACCACTTTACATTACTCTTTTTAAAATAAGCATCTATTTTGGGATGAATTTCTCTCTCTCTCTTTCTTTCTCTTTCCTTCTTTCTCGTTCATATCGCGAGGTTACAGATGTTGATGTTGTGCCTCTGGAGCATGCAACATAGACAAAAGTGAGAAACTCTCTCGAGGCAATCTTACAGTTAAACATCTCTGTTCGCGCGCGCGAATATAGCGGGGTTTAATCAGAGTAAAGTGTGCGGCGAGAAAAGTCGTCAGCTTCTGATATTTCGTCGTGATTTACCTACCTTGCGAGCGATAAAAAGCCCCGGCCTTGGTAGTCGGTATATGATGCATAGTGTTAATAATGTTCTCTCCTTCTTGCTTATCCTCTTACTTTCTCCGTCCTCGCCAAGCTCACGTCCTCGCCTCACGTCCTCCACGTCTTCTCGTTTCTCTCCCGACAGAGCCCCTTCTCTCAATCCAGACTGAAATATATGTGTTACGCTAGAAAAATACGTTTAAAAATATATTTATGTATATATGCTCCAAAGCTGCTGGGAATTTGTACTTAATCGTACATATCTTAAAATACTTTCTTAATGCATATGCACGGTTTCGAAGGCTATTCAGTGTTTTATATACATATTTTTTTATGAAACTCCAGCGCTTTGGATGAATTTATCTCTTTTAAGTAATAAAATCTTCGGATTAATCTAAAAAAGCTATTTCTTTCTACAGTATCTGAATAATTTCTTAAAATCATTTTTCTGTTATTCCACTCTTCGCATTTTTCTTTTAATTGATTTTACGTAATTTAATATTAAAAAATTAACATTTATATTAATTATCTTACTTTCTCCATCTCTTGTCTTCGCCGAGCTCCTCTATTTTTTTCAGTCGCGGCGCGTCTCTCCTCACTCTACGTCCTTCACGTCTTCTCGTTTCTCTCTAGATGAAGCTTCTTCTTTCAATCCAGACTGAAGTATATGTGTTACGCTAGAAAAATATGTATATGCATAAATATATGCTTTAAAAACTGTTGGGAATCTGTACTTAATCGTACATATCTTAAGATACATTCTTAATGCATATGCACGGTTTCGAAGGCTATTCAAATATTTTTTATGTATTCTTTTTGTGCGGCACTCCAACGCTTTGGATGAATTTATCTCTTTTAAGTAATCTTTGGACTAATCTAAAAAGCTATTTACTTCTGCAATATCTGAAAAATTTCTTAAAATGATTTTTCTGTTATTCTTCACATCTTTCTTTTCCATCCATTTAAGTAATTTAATATTTAGATATTAATATTTATATTAATATTTAAAAAATGCTAATACCATCTACATCATGATCGAATTTATTGTCGACGATACCTCACGATAGGAGAAATGTCAATATACTCGAGATTTATTTTTCGATACCTATTTGGAGGGAAAAGAATTGCGATGAAGATTAATCGACAGAATGAAATGCAGAAATGTAAAGTTTTTTTACCGATTAAAGAATTAAACAGAAAAATCTATCGTCACGTATATGAGAACGTGTCGATTCCGGAGAATCATGGGATTAATACCAAGTTCTCATTGGTCAATTCCAACTTTCCCATTTTACTCGAAATAGAATCGCGTAAAAGGGTGACCGATAAATTAACGACGTATAATATCGCGCACATTATGCCGCTATAAAGATAATTGCGGTCAACAATGCGAATGCAAGTATAATGAAATTTACACACAATCCGGGGCAAACGGTATTAATGGTACAAATGATGTTGTTACATTATCCGATACATGTTTAACCAAAGTTCGTTGATGGGGAAATATCAGTGACGTTGTACGCGTGCAGAACTATTCAAGAACCACGTTATTTTTAAAGATTGCCATTGCGAATGGTTTAATCCTTCAAAACGTATCGGCCAGCATTACATATTTAAAACATTACATAATAAACCACTGTATTCTCTTGCTCTCTTTACCTCTTTCTCTCTCTTTCTCATTTATTATTTATAATTAATTTTATTTATAATTAATTTATTATTTATAATTAATTTTATTTATAATTAATTTTATCATCTCTAATAATTAATTTGAAGTATAATTTATAACGTATTGCATTTCTAACACACAAGCAATGTTCACCAATGTCTCCTGCTATCTTTTTATTATTATTAAATCTAGTATTTATAAATCAGAAGACGTGCAGATTTAAGAGGACCAAGTTGACAATCGATCCTGCGTCGAAAAATAATTAATAATAATTTTCATAAACATCCGTGACTCAGATTCGCATATGTCAGATCCTACATATTCTGGACGTCAACGACGATCGGTCTCGCCGATAACGCCGCATTTCGCGCAGATGCGCACATCCTGCCTTCCGGGGTGCAGGTGCGAACGTACATGTATGCACGCGGACGACTCATAATAGAATATGCACCGTTGATACGAGACGATATCACCCCTTCCCTTTCCCTTCTCACCGTCCGGAGACGGCGACACAAGACAACGCGCTCGCTAACAAACCTAAACACAACGGCAGTCCTTATCGTATTCCTGTCACCTATCGCCAGGCTGCACCCGTTGCAGCACATTAGAAACGTTGTCGTCTTCGTCGCGTAAGCGCATTGCATTCCAATGCGCACCAGGACGGACCGCCTGCTGTCATTCGTGTCGCGGGATAAAGTTATCGAGCATTTATACATCGATGTTTTGAACGTCGCTGAATGCACTGAAAACCATTCAAGACACATTTTATTTTGCAATAATTATGATATATTTCTACGTATTAATCGAATAAATTATATTAAACAAAATACATAGACATATTATTTTATTATAAAAAAAATGAGAAAAAGCTTCGAGAGTTTTTTACAATTGAGTAATTACAGTTTCTAAAATATCAGAATTATAAAATATTTTATCGCGAAGCGCTAAAATAATGATGATAATAAATTATCAAGCATTAATTTCAATAAACCTTTTATCAGGTACTCTAGAAAATCATTCATATATAATACAACGAATTGAAATTTGAAGCGGTTTATCCTTTAAAGAGGATTTTCCATGCGTTTTAAAATGAGCTTACCTTTGCAAAATAGAAGTAACGGTCGCATAATGAATTATGTGTTCATTTGCTTGAAAATTGATGCCTTCCTTCCATTTCCTCCTTCGTGCACTCATGATGGCGAAGTTTTGTCGATAATTTGTCGATGATTTGCGTTTTTTGATGTACTATAACACGAAAATAACACGCACAAGTAACGCAACACAAAGACGTGACGACATTTTGATGGTGAATTCAAGAAACTGTACCGATGTATTGGCGCTAAATTCAAAGTGATACCAGCGCGACAATTTTTGTATAATAGCGCCATCTTGATTGAAAAAAACGTTTTCACATATCAAGAAATTATCCGAGGGTACAGAAAGAAAGAGAGACAGTAAATTGTTGATTATTGGGCGAAACCGATAATGAATAAAAGTGTAAATAAAATTTAAATTTATGGGTATACTACCGACAAGACTGTTAAAATCGACCGCCCTGGATAAATTTTCGTGACCATCAAGTGGGCCCGGTGAGCCCGGAGATAATAGAAGATTGATGATATTACCGGCCGTTTTGATTATAGACAATACAAGAATTATTTCAATCATACGAGTATTTTAGGTCATTCAGCTATTGTTTTATTATCGAAAATGTATAAATCTTTTATGTACCTGTTTCAAAGATGACAAATTATGTATCAAATTATTATTTTATTATCGACAATGTAAAGATTTTGTTACAGCAGCTTTGCACATTTTTTTTTGGTTACGCTAAATCCTACCATCGGTCTTTAATAGTATCCTGTCGATGGTCAGACTAATAATAAGAGAGATACTAAAATTATATATGTATATAATATTATATTAATTATATATGTATATGATTTGAATATCTTAATTAATCGATTAGAGAGAGAGAGAGAGAGAGAAAGAGAGGGGTGAAAGAGAGGGGGAAAGAAAGAGAGACAGAGAGGGGCACAAAATTTATTTATATTAAAAATTTATTTATATTTATTTATTTATATTTACATAAGCAGCTTGCTATACTTGCAGCACTAGTACCTCCAGTATTTCGTGCATATAGCACGGAACAGAACCAGAAATTTACACATTATATGTTACCCTCTGAAAATATTCGTGAATACTGGCTTCGTAGTTTAGGTCCACATTTTTAATGTCCATAGAGGGCATATCGTTTTCAGGGATTATCCAGAAGACTCATTCTTCTCTCGGGTTGTATGGCTTATAGTTAGTTTACACTCATGTGATACGCGTATCAAATAGTAATTAACTAGTAAATCGGTTTAATCATTGGCTGATCAGATCATATGTACTATTTCATATGAATATCAAACGATTAGATATACATTGGTATGAATCTACCTTTAAACCGCTCCGATTTCGGCGTCATTTACTTGATCTCGGCGCAATCTTGGTTTGGCGTGAATATTGAATGGAATATGTATGACTGAAAACATGAAAAACATGAACATAAGGTTAGATTCATGAATGAATGTGTACTTTCTCGAAAAATCATGTCATTTCATTTGAAAAGTGAGAAACCGATAACTAAGGTGAGTCGTGATAAAAGTGAGTACTCTAATTGAATAGACGAAAAAGACAGATTTTATAATTTGCAACAAACTTTTAGATGATTTCTTTTGTCAATTTTGCTATTTTTAATATTTTAAATTCATTTGCTTTAACTAAAATTTTCGTTAAAGTAAATTTGATTTATATAAATTAATAAAAACGTATGGAATCTGTTACATATAGCATGCTTATATTTACTTCCTTCATATTTAATTTGTATTTATTAAAAATTATAGTTAACAATGTAAATTGGTTTTATAATTTTTATTTTGATCTCTGAAAGTTTTTATATTCTAATGTACAATAATAAATACTATTTTAAAGGCGCACGATATGGATATATCAGATTTCGAGAGTCTCAAAGTATCCACTTTGGAGAAAGCATCGCGTATATCAGCGATGATGGATCGTATTTCAATTAGTCCCCAAGCAGTGTCAAGCAAAAATGACTCTAAACTGGAAAATATTGAGAATGAACAAAATTCTTGTAACATTAAAACTCCACAGAAAACTAATAATAATTCCAAGCAGAACACAATATCGACTTCAAATGGCATTCACTTTTCAATCAATAAAATTCTTTTGGAAAGTGAAAAGCAAAGGAAAGAAGAAGTCAGGGTAATTATCCTATAGTTGATCATATTCAAGAAGATTTAACAAGATTTAATACTATTACATAAAAATATTTTTAATAAATATATATTAAAAATATATATTAACAAATATATATATTATAATAATATATATGAATAAATATATATAAATATTTTTAATAAATATATATTAGATTATACATATAAGAGATATTGATCAATGTTTTATATTTTGATACCTTCGATATATTACAGAAAAAAATTCAATGTCGTATTATTCACATGGAGGAAAATGGTCGTGTCATTCAGGAGCAAATGGCGAATTCGCGCTCGCTAATGGCACGTGAGCGTGAACGACGGACGGAGGAGAAATTGGCAAATATTCTGGCCGAAGTTGAGCGAATTGCAGAGCAAGAGGAGATTAAGAGGCGGCATGAGCAACAACTACAAGCACAACGTGCTCAGGAACAAAAGGAAAAGCTGGAACGAGAAGTAGAAGAGTATCGGAAACGAATGAAAGAAAAGGAGGAGTTGACAAAGATCGTGATGGTCCATCGAGGCCAGTTTACAGCTAAATACTGTGATATCGTAACGTTATCCAAGAACTGTAAAGATAAGCACGCATTTGACGTGATTCTCATGGCAAATTCCGCGAGAATAAAGGAATTGATTCAACAGATTGAAGCCTTAGATGAAAAAATCAAGGTAATTATAAAAAAAAGAAATTAAAAAAGAAAAAATTAATTATTTCAAAAAGTTTGTTTACAAATTAAAAGTTTGTAGACATTTTTATTGAATGTCAAATTGAGATAATTTACTACAAGAGATGATCATAAATTTTTGAAAACGTGACATTTTTTATTCTGTACAAGTTGTTATATCATTTCTAATAATAATTATGGATTTTTATAGAGTGGAGAATTGATTCCTTCAGATGTGAATGTTATCGAGAGCCTTGTTCATCATATTGACGATATATTGACTATATTTCGGACAGAGATAGGTTCGTGAATTTCTTGCAGATAGTCAAATATACATATACATATATATGTATATCTTCTTTTCTTATAAACTACTATTAAATATATTTTGTTCTTAACTTTAGAAAAAATAGATGCCCAATATGAAGCAGAATTGGCTCGTAAAGCACAAGCTGCGAATGAGGTCCAATCAGTTGTGGAATCTGAAAATATTGCAGTTGGCGATACAGTACCTTCTCAGCATCTAGGTAAAAACAAGGCTGAGGAGAATAATGAGAATAAAGACCAAAACTCCAGTGTAATAACCAATCAGGAAGTAGCAGTTACAACAATTAATGAGCCAGTTACATCTGTATCTGTACCTAAATCGGAAGAAATTACTGCAGATTCTAAATACAAAGAAGGCATGTTAAAATCTATATAATTAAATAATATATTTTAAATTTTATTTTAAATATTATATGCATATACAATATTTTATATTCTATTTTATAAATTCATATATTACATATCTTAATTACAAAAAATATGTTAATTTAATTTAATTTAATTTAATTTCCTATCTAAATTGAAATTTTTGTTTAAATAGATTAGAAGAAAGATTATGGAAAGAAAAATGATTAATGTGTTTTTTATGTCGAAAATTTTGCAGGAAATCTTTATGAATACGTTGATAAGGAGTCATTGCAGATTTACATTCAGAGTCAACAATTTTTAAATCTTTATAAAAAAACTTGCAAGGATTTCTTACAATCGATTGCTACGAAGAAATTTCGCTTCGAGTGTCAGAAAGCAATCAATATTCCAGTAAATGCGATCTCTGGCGTTAGCGAGCAACATTTGAGAGATAAATATGATAGATTGCATAATCTTTTGATTGGAAAATCATCTCCGAACGTGATGCAACATCCGCAAGGAGTGATTTTTTGCAAGGATCATTTGGCAAAAAAGATAGTTGTATGTATCTGTGGAAATCTCTTTCTTAAAGTCATAATTAAAAGAAAAAATAAACAAGTTATATTACTTGTCACATTAATAAAATTTTTTTTAAATAGAAATATTGATTTTAACTATAAACAAATTCTTTTATTAGCTTGAAATTCTGTTATCTTTCTGTTATCTAGGAATGAATTCTTATTTGATATGAATATGAATTTCTAGAGTCAGGGCGAGACGCTGGTGTCCAGCAAGCCGGAAATGGCATTTCCCGTGGCGATGATCGTTGTTGCTCTCTGGAATGAGCATCCAGATTTTGGTGAGCTTTTCCTAGCACATCTTCATGAAGCATGTCCATTCACTATTCCAATCTTCCTGTCGCAACAAGAGGGCCAATCGAATGAGGATTATTATAAATCCCTCGGCTGCAAATACTCTGAGGATGGCACTGTCGAAAAGCAAGACAAGTTTCTAAAGAGAATGTCAGGCTTGATGAGATTATATGCGTCGATTACTATCACAGCACAGCGGAGGGGTATCGCCAAGGTTCATCCCTATGGTCTTCAGCATGCTTGGAGATGGTTGGCGGCCGTTTTAAATACTGGTAAGAGCATTACATTTTATGATGTAATTGTTTAAATTGAAATATTAATTTTCTAAATTTGAGACGCACATTTATTGGAAATATAAAAAGACAGATTTATAAGAAATGAAATCTATAAGTACCATCTGTATATAAAGTGTCAAAAATATAAAAATATAAAAAATTTTTATGCGAAACAAGAATCTTGACAATATGTAAAGAAAATTAATTTGTTGTCAATATACTGTGAAAAATAATCCAACAAAAATGATACTGTGAAAGTAAAAACTTATTTCTTTAATTTTTAGAACCAAGAACTGACATGTGCGACTTGTGCGCGACTTTAATATTGGATATGCTCGAGGTTGCTGGTAATGTGTTATGGATTGCCTATCCAACACAATTTCACAAATTGTTGATGCTATTGTCGGAGCAGTATTATCCGCGTATGCGAAACATTACAAACGGCGGTGGTGGGCCTTTGATGCGGCTAGAAGGGTTTCTGAACAATGCTTTAACGAACGGCACTATACGTCCCGCTGACGGAATGCTTCCGCCTAACTTTTTATGATCTTCTGTGAAGTCCTTCCGACGACGTAGTGATTTAAATGTAGGCTGAAGCTATCACGAGCTTAATAAATTAGACTAAGAAATATTTTTTAATTGTTTTGAAACTTAAAAATTTCGCATCGAGCATTATTTAAAGCAAAATCTCAAGCATCTTGAAGAAACTAATGATTTTTAAGACTTTTGTTTCTTCATTGCAGCCATACGAAATTATGATATCACAAGCGAGAAATTATATGAATTTTTTTTCTGTAAAATATGTTGAAATTAGTTTTGTCATATGTGTTACCATACATTCTATAACATAAATTAATAAAACGCATTAGTATTTTGACGGTTCGTGAATTAATAAATATAGCTGTAAATTTTAATCTTTCATTTTATAATGATTTATATAATTCAATTATAATAACTGCAATGAGGCATAAAAGCCTTAAAATTTTTTTTTATTAAAAAAAGTTTAAGTGAAGAATCTAAAAATGAAACGTAAACTTTTCTGAAAAATTTTAAAAAAGTTGTGAAAAATTAAACTCTTGAGACATCAAAAATAAAAAGCAAAAGGAAAATTAAATACACCAACCAGGATACAAGTCTTGTCGTGTTATTATTATTACTTATGTTATGATTTATAGAAATAATGTATAATTTAAAAAGTGAATTTTGATAATACTTTATTCTGTATGTATCGATTGCGGATCAACTTAGAATCGATTAGAGCGTGTACTTACGGAGAGGAGGCGAAATTAGACGAGAGAAAAAGAGTGAGAGAAAATGAATGAATGGGCGAGAGAGACAGAGATAGAAAGAGAGAGAATCTTTTTTTAACGAATCATGTATATAGTCGAGGATAAATTTATTATATATTTAATTATTATATTTACTTAGATTTAATAAGAGATTATATTATTAAGAAAAATTCAAATAAAAGAAGGTATACATAAAAATTGAAAGAGATAAATAACAAGTATATCATAAAACAATCTTAATAATAACGTACACTAGTGATTACAGACTTTATCTCATCCAAATTATAAAAGTCCGTTGAATTTTCTGCAAAACCGACAATGCCGAAGGGTGACAACCTGTCCATCCATTCCTTGCGCTGATTGATATTCAGCAAATAAGTTGTGAGCTCTTTAGCAAGTGTATTCTCTAATAAACAGTAGAAAAATTAATTATAGAAATTAATTACGGAATGTAAACTTATTACAGAGAAATGGAATGAAATTAAAAGTAAAATTAAAGTCAAAAACAAATTCGTGAGTTTTTCCTTTTTGCTGCGATTTTAACGTTAGAAGGAGATCTGTTATATTTTTCATATTGTGTATAATACTTTTTATATTTATAGATTTTTTAAATTTTAATTTTACTTATTGAAATGTTTTTTCTTCATGAATTAGCTGCGTTACATTAATTTTATTTATTATTTACATTAATCATTATCAGCCGTAAAAACGATAGAACGATTTCATGGAATCTTTCTAACGTTAATATTGGTATTTTGAGAGTTTCTAACGCAGATAGAGAAATGTTATACCTAGTGCTTTATTGATCATGATGCGATAAGGCGGTAAAGGTCCCAAACTGAGGAGAATTTGAAGAAATTCTGCGCCAATTATGGTCATCTTGTGACATCCGATTACCGGTGCTTCCAGGATACCCACTTCCGCTTGCTTGCCCGCAACCATTCGCAATACTTCGAGTTGCGAATTAGCATCTGCAAAATTGAATTTTCGATAAAATATACGATCTATAATTCGTCCTTTTCCCATCGAAAATACAACAGATGATATATTATTATTTAATACTGTCTCAGATAATGCCCCAAATAATTTTTTAGTATCTAGATAGATACTATATATAATATTTCTATAATCTGCATATTTTCTCATAATTATTTATGCTAAGATTCTCACTACATAAAACATACACCAGAAATATATCTTTTTAATTCGATTTTATATTTTTGATATGTGTAATCTTTAAAGAAGAATTTTAGCAAAAATAAATGTAGGTAGTAAATAATTAGATAATAAATATAGATAATAAATAAATATGCAAATCTATATGATAGATAAAAAATATTATATATATATATATATATATATATATATATATATATAATATTTTTTATCTATCAAATAGATTTAGACTATATATATATATATATATATATATATATATATATATATATATATATATAAATGAGATGTTGTAAACCGACCGAGTATATTTCCGAAAAATGCTGGGTTTTCGCCTTTCGATTGCAGGTAGTTGAAGAGCAATGATGTAACGCAGATTTTATCGCATCTATTTGGAATGGCACATCTGTGTCCTCGCAGGTCCATAATAGTCTACAATTTTAACAGATATTTGCCTCAAAGATAAGTGACTCAAAATTAAATCGTGAATTAAATAGTGAAAGAATTTTTTACGTTTTACTTTTTATTTTTAATTTTAAACTATAAAATTTAATTTATACTTGATATTAATTAAATTTTATAGTTTAAAATTAAAAAATAAAAAGTAATCTTTAATCTTAAATAAATAGATTAATTTTTTAAAGTTAAAAGAACAAAATGATTAAAAATTTTATATTTTAAAGTCGAAATATTTATGAGAATTGCAAAGAAAGTAATATAATACAATGTAAATTAAAATTTTCAAAATTGATAGTGGACTCAATGAAACAAAACTATAAATAATAATGATTCTCTACTTCAAACAAAAAGTTTTTAATGAAACGTTTGAAAACATAATTCTATTTTTAATCCGAAAATGAATAATAGCAATCATAAACTTGTCCAAAGTTTTAGGTTGTTTATATTTTTAATCTAATAAATTAGTTAAATTTATCAAATTTTTTCGCAATTCGATGATTTTTCTTATAATTTTAATTACGTCAACGTGAGGAGCGCGATCATCCGCGACGATTACGTCGGCATAAACATGAGGCGAATTGTTCTTGTTCAAATGATGCTCAAAAACGAAGCTGGCGGGTAGGAGCACACCATCGTCCCAATTGTTAGCCGCTGGCAGGATAGCTAGAAAATAGATAAAAAAATTAAATGATATTAATAATAAATTTCTATTTTCTAACGTGATAATACATATACATTTCATGTTGTTCCCGGATAAGTATCAAACAGTCTCTACACTTTTATTCGTCTTGAGGTGAGAGAAACGCGATGACGTCATGATGAATCATCGCAATCAAACATCACGAAGATCACGGAGACATTTAATAATGTTTAAGGAAAGGATCTCGAACAAAAATAATGTTTAAGCGAACAAATTTTAGGTGTCTTCAAAAATCTTCTAAAAGTCTTTGTACGAAACATTGTTTTCTATTTTTTATAGAATCGTAGGATTCTTCTCTGTTACCTATATCGGTGATATCCTTGGCGACCGGTCGTCCAAATCTAGTCTCATACAACAGAACGACCGGTTTCTTCGTGACGACTTCGATAATTTCCGCAAACACCTCGAAGACCTCGATTGGCAATGAAGGCGACAGATGTATCGCTAGGACCAAAGGACGCTCGTTCATATTTGGTGCTGATAAGGGCCTCCAAATTTTACGCGCGCCAATATCCCAAGGGTTGAGCAAATCCTACGTTAGTTATTTAATTTTAATAAATTTTCACGTACTTGAATTATATTTTAAAACTCTTTTAAATAACGAATCTTAAATTTAAGTAATTTTAAATAACATACACACACGTATGTACATATATACGTGCTTGAGTGTACTTTAGTTATTTATCATTTTTTATCAAATTTAACTGAAAATTTATCCTGCGAGGAAAATTGAATTCTTGCTAAATGAAAATAAAAATAAACACATGAAATATGTATCAAAATATATAAAATTAGATAGATAAAATATTTTTTAGCTAATAATTTAACTTTACAGTGATAATATAGAGTTTTTACACTAGTTAATTACTGAAAACAACTTTAAACAAATCGAAATTTTAAATTTTTAAACTTTTTTTGATTTTTAAGTTATTTTATATATATTTTATATTTATATTTAAAAAAATACTAAATGCATTTAAATCAATATATTTTAGAAAAATTATTTTACAAATATAAATTAAAACATTTCTTCACAAATTTTTATTTAAATTTTTATTTCATCTACTAGTAAGTATTTATTTATTTTATAAGTTTTATATTGTAAGCTATTTCCATTAGTATAATTTTAAACAAAGCTTATACAACCTTTCTAAGGACAGGAATTTTCTTCGTTTCCTCTACATCTTCATCTTGAAGAGGGCGATCACCTTGATAGAATTTTATATCTTCGTCATTACTTTCTTCGGGATCCTGAAAAACAATTTCTGAACTATCATCTTTGATAGCCTCTGTAGACTCTGCCTTCAGCGCTTCCATCGTATCTGTAATTTCAAAAGCCTCAATGAAGGATTTTAATTTATCATCTTTGATAACCTCTGGAGATTCTTTCTTCGTATCGTGTACTTTTATAACTTCAACTGCCTCAAATGGTTCTGTATTTTTAACAGAACTTTCTTCAAAATCTTTCGTTGGAATTCTCGATTTGTCATCTTTAACATCTTTTGTAGATTCTGTCTTCAGAGTTTCAATTTTTATCTCATGAATCTCAGCTGGACTTTCTAATTTAATATCTTTGATATCTTTAGGAGATTCTTTCTTCAGCGTTTCGTGCACTTTTGTAACTTCAGGAGCATCAGCCAGTTTTATATCTTTAACAGGACTCTCTTCAAAAGCTTTTGCAGGAATCGCTTCATCTTTCTCATCTTGATCATCCTTCGTAGATTCTGTCTTCAGAATTTCGCTAATTTTTGTAATCCCACCAATCTCAGCAGGAATTTCTAATTTAAAATCTTTGACATCTTTAGGAAATTCTTTTTTTAGTGTTTCATGCACTTTTGTAACTTCAGGAGCCTCAGCCAGTTTTATATCTTTAACAGGACTCTCTTCAGGAGCTCTTGCAGGAATCGCTTTCTCATCTTTCTCATCTTGATTATCCTTTGTAGACTCTGTCTTCAGAAATTCGCTCACTTTTGTAATCGCAGTAGAAGTTTCTAATTTAAAATCTTTGACATCTTTAAAAAATTCTTTCTTCAACGTTTCGTACACTTTTGTAACTTCAGGAGCCTCAGCCAGTTTTATATCTTTAACAGGACTCTCTTCAGGAGCTCTTGCAGGAATCGCTTTTTCATCTTTATCCTTTGTAGACTCTGTCTTCAGAGTTTCGCTAATTTTTGTAATCTCACCAATCTCAGCGGGAACTTCTAACTTAAAATCTTTGATATCTTTAAAAAATTCTTTCTTTAACGTTTCGTGCACTTTTATAACTTCAGGAGTTTCGGCCAATTTTATATCTTTAACAGGACTCTCTTCAGGAGCTCTGGCAGGGATCGCTTTCTCATCTTCCTCATCTTGATCATCCTTTGTAGATTCTGTCTCCAGAATTTCGCTCACTTTTGTAATCGCAGTAGAAGTTTCTAATTTAAAATCTTTGACATCTTTAGGAGTTTCTTTCTTCAGCGTTTCGAGCACTTTTGTAACTTCAAAAACCTCAGCCAGTTTTATATCTTTAACAGGACTTTCTTCAGGAGCTCTTGTAAGAATCGCTTTCTCAGCTTTATCATCTTTTGTAGATTTTGTCTTCAGAGTTTCGCTCATTTTGGTTTCACGAATCTCAGTGAGAGTTTCTGATTTAATATTTTTGATATCTTTAAGAGATTCTTTAGGAGATTCTTTCTTGAGCGTTTCGTGCACTTTTGTAACTTCAGGAGCCTGTTTTATATCTTTAACAAGACTTTCTTTTGAAGCTCTTGTAGGAATCGCTTTCTCAGCTTTATCATCCTTCGTAGACTTTGTCTTCTGCGCTTCTTGTATTTTCGTTGCTTTAATTGCAATCTCTTTAGGTTTCTCAATCGGTATTTCACTTGGTGCTGTCTTCTTCTTCGAGCAACATTCTTTTATTTCGCCCGCGACGTTCTTCGATCTGTCGAAAGATTCGGCGACTGTGAGTTTCGCTGCAGCCAGCTTTTTGCTCATTTTCGTGTTACTGAGAAACTCCGGAAAAACTCTGTACTGATGCCTGAACCGCCAAAAGCGATGTGCACCGAGAGACTCCTCGAAGAGACAAGTTTCGAATCGATCGGAATGACTGCGAAACGTCGATCCACGGCGACAGGCAGGGGCTTCGATCGCCAATCTTCATGTTTGCGTGTGTACGTTTATCGTCAGTCGTCGGCCGCGTGACAATCGCGTGTATTATAAGAACGACGGTTGCTATTCCATCATGAAAGTGATACCGGTCCCAAGAAAGGTCGCGATAAGTTGCTACAATTTATTTTTCTTTCTCTCCCTTAATCTTTCTCTTCCCCTTCTTTCTGACAAAGACGCTTATTAAACACAACGTGACAGACGTTGATTTTTTTTAAGGATATCAAAGGTCGAAAGAGACGAGAATCTATTCCAGCATTTTAATTTGAAAAACATTTGCGATATGTGTAATTTGTGTATTGTTTCAATAGTTAATGCGTATTTATGCATAATTAATAAATTACGTATATTTAGGTATGCATAATTTATAAATGATGCGTATATACATATTATGCGTATATACATATTAATGTACAATTAAAAATTAAATAGATAAGAAAAATTCGAAATTTTCGATAAACGATGATCGGAATTTGCCGTTCAAATTTCAAATTTGTTGTTTACTGTTGAATATTTATCATGTTATGTTGATCATTTATCGTTGTTTGGCGAGTCTTGCAAACGGACGAAAGTCCCACCGACCCAATATAACGCGATAACGGCCGATGAAGACTTCATCCGGATGCATCATTCGCTCTGAGAAACTCCAAGTAACAAAAAGAACTCCATGGTTGTTCTGATTAATTGAAGTCAAATGTCACGGTTTGTCTTTGAATATATTCATGAAATGGTATTGAACTGCGAATTCAATGCAGTTTAAATTGAAAGCGCCGAGAATACAAATGTAAATTACAAAGCATCGATTTTCTTACTGAAAGAAAATCAAACATAAAAAGTACATCTCTGAAAAATGGCTACAAATGCGAAAAAATAACAAATGCTAATTTGCTTATTAATAAAAAAAATATTGAAAATAAGTCACATTGAATGAGATTAAATTAAGATTGAAATAAATTTCAATCAAATTAATCTTTTAAAACTGAAATAAAAATTTGATGAATAAAATTAATTCATATGAAAATAATTTAGATCAAGATAAATATTTATTATTTGATGGGTTTAAATTCTATGAAATTAGAGACTCTTTTTCCACAAATTGCCTTACTTATTCTTCGCAGTGTTTCTGATAAATTCAAGCTCTTTACAAAAATTACGCGGCAATAATATTCAGTATTATATAAGAGAAATGCATACAAAGCAAAACATTATTGTGCATTTTGTATAAAGATGTAAAGACTTCTCACCGATCGACTTCTCTCTTCCTCGTTAGAAGTTACATTCTTGGAGGCCTTTCAATTGGAAATGTGCAGACTATCGCGCATTCCACGATCCCGTGGAATGCACAGTGGCCGCTCCACACAGGTGTAACCCATTCAGGTGATGTCACTACGCACACTCGAACATTTCGCGATCGAGCAGTCACTTACAATCCAATGTGATCGAGCGCATCGCCAGTCTTTCATTCCGTCTGTAGGAAAAAAGATCAATACAATGTTTAATCTGTCCTCCTTAGCTGCCCTCGTATCTTTTGCACTCAATAATGTGCAGTTACAAAATATTGGACGAAAAATGAAAAGAAATACAGGCAAAATATAATGATAAAATTATTGTAAAGGTAAAATAAATTAATTTGTATAAATTTTATATTAATATAAAAATTAATCCCCTGTAGAGATTAAAAATTATGAAAGGATTTTGATGATAAAAATTAAAATTACAAAAAAATCTGTTATTATTTAATTTCTATTAATTTATTTATGCTTTGCGCAGAGAAATCGTGTACTCAGCAAATCGATATTCTTAATAAGATCTCGATCTGATTGAATTATGTCGAGTTCTGCGCCAGTGCGCAATAAAGATGCTTATCAGCAAGCATGCGCTGCAGAGAGAGGAAAGTCTGAAGATTCACCGAGATTCGCGAAAAAAGTATATTATTTGACGCCTTGGTTTCTTCTCGCATATAGTGCGCGAAAAAGCGGAAATTAATAGAATAATAAGAGAGCGCATTAATGTTTCGAACTTAAAAATTTGTAGCGCAAGAGATCGAGAGATCTCTTATTCTTCGAATTTAAGACTTTCACAAATGGAAAAGTCCTTGATGATCATGCAGCGCTAATGTGATTTTAATTATAAAATTAATCAGGAGCGAACAAATGTAAATAAAAGTAGATTAAAAGAATAATATTCGTGCCACTTAATATTTATATAAATTTAAAAGAAAAAAATCTTGTCAAAAATAATTATAAAAATTATTAAAATTCGCAACATGGATAAAAATGAAGAAACTTAAAGTAAAAAACTTGAATATATATTATTCAATATATATTACTTGAATATATATTATCAGAATTGCAAAGATAGTTTTTCCAATTGAATTTTCATTAAGCAAAAGATCCTCAAAGAATGTCTCCTTAGAATCCGCAAAGTTTCTTGACAAAACGTAATCTTCGAGCTATCCTGTACTAGCGATAATGTTGACGATAAAAGCGATTCGAACGAACATACTTGGAGGAAAATGATTTAACGTGACGTCGTTTTTTTTTTCAATGAGAGAGAGGGAGAATTTTAGCGCGCTTTTGACGTTCGACGAATGAATTGCGAAGATCAGCTGATGGCGATCAGAGCCGACGCGTCGCATATTCGCGTTATCGCATGCCGCTACAGTCTCTCTCGCAAATTCACGTATTACGTAAATCTATGCACGGTCCCGCATGCGGACCAATTAACGGCCGACATTTTTATCGCACCGTCATGGTTCAAGGCAGCAGGCAACCGGCCGTCGCGACAACCTCCAGCGCGTGTCTCGATAATGCTCCGAAAATCACGAGGCTGGATCGGCGGTTTACGAGAGGATCCGTCAACTTTTATAAAAGCCCAATGATATATCGCAAAAATCATTAACGTAGAGAAAAATTCAAGAATGCGTCAAAATTTTAAATCCAAGTCAAATCGAGATAAGAACGATTTTTTAATCGGTTTTAAAAAAAGAATAAAATTATAAGAGATTAAAGTCGAAAGTTTTAATTTTTTTCAAAATAAATTTAGCATTAGATTCACGCTTATGTTCTAGAATGTAGAAAGATGAATTGATTAACTATACAATCTCTTATTATCAAAGATAGACAGATGGGTATATAGACAAAGTATGTTACTTAGGCGAACGTAGGAAAGGCATTCTGACTCGTGCGATGTATTTCCGTCGATGAACTCGAGTGCGCGAGTCATTCTCCAGAGAGAAAAAGAGAGAAAAAGGAAAAGAGAGAAAGAAAGACAGAGAAATACAGGTGGACTTTGTCCTGATCCTTCATTAGTTAGGATATAACAACGTTACTACTTCATAATTTAAGGAACACAAAAAATATGTCTAAAATATGTCAAGAGAGACAATATAAGAGAAAACGTACTTTTCTCTACAAGTACTAATTAGTAGTAAGACATCACTGGATTAAAGAGACATGATAAAGATATTTTTTGAATTCGGAAGGAAAACAGACTCGATTTAGATTAATGTAAGAATTTTCAATTGTTAAGATATCTGTCGCACCAATTGAATCGTTTTGAATATTAATATAATTAATTGATAGAATTTGTCGACAATAAATTCTATTAAACCGTGATAAGTGTGACAACACTCTGGAAAGGCAACGTGAGGAATTGCCTTTCTAATGGGCGATATCGAAAAACAAACAGACCCGAAAAAGCTAACGCCTACTATTTACGTGATCGTTCGTCAGAAATTTGCATAGTTGCTTCGACTAGACGAGGAAAAAGAATAAAACAAAATAAAAGCGACGTGATAAGAGCTGTGTAGGATTTCGCGTGTTAGAACAAGTGTTCCTTACCAAATCTGGCACGAGGCGACATAATGCTCACGTAGAGACTAAATTATCGCCTTCCTGAATTCTATAAAGTTCCTTCGCCTGCGGCGAATCTTTGTGCCAGCGAATCTTTCTCATTATTGAACACGATTTTCACGATATATATATGTCTTTAAATATAATATGTATATATAATAAAAAATATATATGAATAGTGTAGTGTAATAATTATAATAAAATTATAATGAAATTATTATAATAAAAAATAAAAATATAAATATAAAATGTAATAAAAATATAATAAAAATGTAATAAAAATATAATGAAAAATATATAATAAAAAATATATAATAAAATATATATAATATATATATATATATATATAATAAAATATATAAAATAAAATATATATGACATATATAATAAAATAAAAATATATAAAATAAAATATATATATATGTAAAAATAGTGTAATGTAATAATTACAATACATAAAATATGATAGAAATAATAAAATAATAAACAAGCTTCTACTATGCTTGTGTTGTGTATCTTATTATTATAGATTATATTTTTTAATCTTTATTGTCTTTCTGCAAAAATATCTGTATATGATTATCATTGCATATCATATCACATATTTTTAGTATTTGTTTTTTACGAAAACTCGATCCAAGTTTAAAAAAACTTGAGATCCATGATCGAGTAGTGAGTTATCAGATCGAGATCTAGCTGCTTTTGATGCAAATTCCTCCATTACCACTGATCGAGGCGTTAATCATTTTCGCGAATGTCTCGGTAAGAAGTACTTTACATCATATTGGAAGCGTATTTGCGTCAACATGCCACATTTAGCACTTTATTTAACACACTCTAGTATTTCCATTTATTCGATATTGCAACTTTTGAATTGATTTCGATTTGATCGAATATTTGACTCCGTCCTACTATAAAATATGTCGGTAATATATTAAATTAATTATCATCCGGAATTGAATCATCTAATTGAATCATCGTCTGAGAGTCGCACGATTGCATTTAGCGTTAAACACGATCGTTTAATTCTCGGCGCTGGCGATAACATCGTGATAACAGCGCGATCATGTGCTATGATTTACACTAAACAGAGCATCAAAGTAAGCACTTTTAATGAATAATCATACTAAATACAATCAATTTTTTACAATAATTAATATTGAACGTAATCTTAGTATCAAATGGATAAATCATACAGTGACTAACGCGCTAGATGCACAATTTGTTCAACATTAAAATCGCAAGTTTGACTAACAAGTACAAATTGTGCCTCGACCGCATTTGACAGTTAAACATGACATCTATATAATTTGTAATTTATCCAACAAATTAAAACGATGATTTAATAATCAGTCACACTTTTAGGCGTTAAACATGGCCGTTCATTCCGACTGTGTTTTCTTCAATTTAGAGTCGCGCTCGTGACTAAGGCAAGTATGCCTTGGGAATTAGCCACATTTCCACCAGATCCCATCCATATATCGAGTTGGATTTATTCTAGGTTGCTTCATTTACTCACTTTACTCGATTCATTCCGTTTATTCAACAATTCAACTTTGCTGATTGCACTCGATCGGTCGGGGAACCACCGTTAAACGAGCAGTATCACGAGTGTACGGTATCGAGTACGGTATCAAGTATTAAAAATCGATCGCGCGCTGCCGTAATCATTCGATTACGATTGATTGATACACGGTGTCATTATTTCGTTGAATCATTTTACTCGATCACCCGATCGAGCGAGCCGTATAATCGCGCGATACAAACCGGAACCGCTAAGTGGGTCACTGTCATGTGTCCGGCCGGTGTCGCGGATCGACGACCTGCGTTCCCCGGTTCTTAAACGTTCGGGATCGCGAATTTGAGAATGCGAAAGAAGTCGACGATACGGCGAACTAGAAGAAACTGGCCCGGCAACGAAACAGCGCGACGTCGATTCCTGGCCTGCCGACTCGGGCTCCTTCCTCCTCCTCCACCTCCTCCTTCTTTTGCCGATCCGCGATCATTGTCGACGTCATCGTACGCGATCATCGCCGTATGACGTCATCCGCGAGCGCCGGATGCTGTCATCGTGCGCGCGGTCGCTCCGAGATCTCCTAGATATACGTTCACGAGGAGAGCCTCGGTCCGGTTTCTGTCATAAACATGTGTGAAGAATGATCCTCTTCTTTTCTTTCGTAACATCTCTATAATTTATATGTATATTTTTTTTCTATTTACAGTTTTATTTAAATCTTGACACATTGACTTATTAAGCACATGTAAAACAGAAACTTTTCTTTTAAAAATCTTCAAATAATATTCAAACAATGAGTAGTAAAAAAGTAGCAAAAAATTATTAATATTGTAAATAATTGCTCGATTTACATCGTGTCGAGGACGATTGCGACATGGATACAATTATTTGGAGGAGGATTTTTTCTGGTACTGGATCATCGCATCCTTCAAATATAAGAAAAAAAAGGAGGAAGAGGATGAGGTTGACACACCGTGACCTCCTCAAGGTAAACCCGTGCCATCTTCGGGCATGAGTTCGCGCATGCCGTTTTAATTCGTGTCGCGTCTTATGCAGTCAATTAAGCGGTTGTTGCTGTTGCTTATCGAATGCGGTTAACTACTTCTATCGCGAAAATCTAGCTCAATTAACAATTAATTCTCGATAATTCTCAGTTTACATAATTATAAAATTAGCGAGAGAAAGAGAGAGAGAAGTTTCTCTCGTTAAAAAAATTTGTAAAAAAGTTGTTTAATTAAATATCAAAGAAACTTATTCAGTTTTTTATTATACGTTAGAAGAGGTAAATTAAATTTCTCCTTATTTATTAAGCGTAAAGTAAAATTGATTAATGTGTATGAAAGTGTTTTAGTTACGCGTGACGCTCCAACTCAGATTTTAGATTTTTTCAGGTTGTATAGGGTTAAAATTGCGGTGCGGAACACGTGCCGCCGCGTCAATGCCCCGCTACTAAGCGGGGATTTAGACGTGAATGAACGGCCAGCTCGCACTCTGCGCGGCGGAATATCCGCGAGTGGGGCTCCGATAGTGTCAGCAGGGCTGTAATTTACACGTTAGCCGAACAAACTGTAAGAATCGGAGTCTCGTATCGAAAGAGGCCTCACACGTCATTAAAGTATCACGTAGACAATTCGTTCTCGGTATCAATGTCTTAAGTTCAATTAACAATTCAATAATTAATTTAATATTTAATTCAATCACTCGATTATTTCTCAATCTTCTATCAAAACTCTTCATTTAAACGGAAATTTATATTTATGCGAATTGTATCATTAAACACCTATCTTATAAAACTAATTATTTATCTGTCGCGAAAATAAACTATTTAATTAAATTTAATTATTTTCTATAATTTAATATATTAATTAACGAAGAGAATTTGGTTCTGATTATGACCGCTGGTACAAATAGCTTTACGTCCATCTCTGGATGGCGGCTCGTTACCGGCTTGCCGTATCAGGCCGAGTCGACGTCACGGTGAGCGAAGGTATTCCGGACGTCGCCGTCGCGGACACGTCGGTTAACCTGGCCCAGAAACCAAGCCGGAACTGCCGGTGGAATCAATGACCTTGGCGCGCGAGCTCCGCTCATGGCCACCGACCTCGGGAAGAAAGTTTCAGCATCGAGAGCTTTTAACGGCGACGAGGACGACGACAACGACGATGGCGATGGTCATGATTGAACCTTAAAATTTAACGCAAATATTATAAATTTTATTTTATTTTAATATTTTTAAATATTATTATTTTTAATATATAAAAAGAAAATTTTATTTTATTTTAATATTTTCAAATATGTGGATTTCATATATTCAATATCTTAAAGACAAGCTTATACTTAATGTTTTTTTATTTTACTTATTACTAGTATGTGTTCTATTTCCTATCTTGTGATGTATAATTTATATAATATATAATTTATGATATATAATTAAATTTATAATAATATATAATTTAATATTTTTGTATTAAAATTAGATACTGGGTGTGTGGTTATAAAAATCATCATACAGTTATAGTTTATTTGACAACAGCTAAAAATTTAAAACTTGATTAGGTTACCGTGAAGTGAAAAATTCGGTTTGAAATTAAACAAACAAATCCGATTGTAAATAAAAATAAAATTTGCAGTAGAAAAAATAAAATAGAATTTGCCGAGGCGACGTGCGCAGATTTGCTTTTTAATCTGACAGTAAAACAAAATTTGATTTGCGTCGAGCGGTTTAGAGGAAAGAAATCGATTCGCTTAGCGTTAAAAAAAAAACTTTTTTCGCGAACGATGTAAAATTAGTTAAATCGAGATTCGGTTCTCGCGTGACGTGAAATAAAATCACGTTGAAATTGCGCACTTGGGTTGACGCACCGTGTCCGGCACGCGTGACGTATGTACTCTCTTGCCGCAGGAATGTGAATTTCCATTCGACGGCGCTATCACGCGCCGTGAGATCGCATTTAGAGATCCAGGCCAGTTCCGCCTCCTCCTCGAAATCCGCTGTCCTGCTCCGTAATTTCTCTCTTTGACAGCGTATTTGCGCGAACGTAAATTCCAAACGCTACTTTCATCACGCTAATGTTCATAAATATAAGGCGCAACTTGAATTAAATGTTATCATCGGAAGCTTCACATCGAGTTAAAATCGATTGCGCGGAATAAAGAGAGCAAAATAAATGGTACATACAGAATGGCAAATAAAAATTGAAAAAGATTGTTGGAATAAAAATCCAAATTATTTGGTAACCATTTTGAGAGAGATAGGATTTTCCCTTGAAAATGGATTAGGTTACGTTTGAAAAAATAATATTTCTTTTATCTTGTAAAATAGAAACCTTTTGGGTTTTTTTTTAAAACGATTCAATATTTAATATCAATAAAGTTGATTAAAATTACTTTTAATTACATGACAATTTATCAAGGTGTCGGAAACAGAGAAAATACATAAGAAAAATTACTTTACTTTACAAGTTCATACCTTGCAAATAGATATAGACATGATTTACATTAAATATCATGTTAAATCTATTTTAATAAAAGTATAAATTTCTATCGCATTTCTCACCGAAATTCCTGTTTATTTTCATTGATAAGCATCATAATTAATAAAACTTCGCAAAAATAAGGATAACTTTTATGTATGTTACATCTCTCTTTCTATCTCCTTGAAACTACAAAAGCTCGAAAAATTTAAATTTACTTCTTTCATCGAGCTGCAGATGGCGATGGTTAGGTGTATAGAATGTGTTCGAAAATTCTATTTGCAAGAAAGAGTGCTTTTAATTGACCAATCAAAACAAAAGAAGCAGAAGATTTTTCTTTTTCCTGATTAGTGAATTAAAAAGTACTCTGTCCCATAGAATAGAATTTCAGAACTCATCCATATTATGGAGTCGACCATGCGTCACGTGCTCACATAAGTCTGTGACACGTGCTTGCGTCTTTTCTGACGTTTTATAAATTGAACAGTCTATTTATTACGGTCATGACAGATAAAAAGTGTTGTATCTGTGAAAAGGAAAACGCACCTTACAAGTGTCCGATATGCAAAACACCCTAGTAAGTGTACTATTTATAGATTATAGACTTTAAGAGGTTATATTCTCTTTGGATTGTTGATATTATTATACATGTTACATTTGTTAAAAATTATCGTATTATTGACTAAAAATCGAAAAGCTACAGTAAAATATGTTAATTTATTATATTAATTTATTATATTAATTTGATATAATAAATGGTTAAAATATTTCTTTTATTATTTTTCTTCCTACTATATAAAAATATAAGTATATAAATTTTAATTAAATTTATTATTAATATTAGGCCATATTCTTTTCTTTATCTTAGCTGCTCTGTAACATGTTGCAAGGAGCATAAAAGTCAAACTTGCGAGCCTCCTAAGTTACCTGAGAAACCCAAAGAACATGAAAGTGAACGAAAATATCAATTTTCAACAGAAGATACTGTGCCTGTGGAAAAACTGCAACAATTGTGGCATAGCGAGGAACTGAAAGAATGCCTCAAACATCCTGATTTACGCGATATCATGAAAGCAGTTCTCAATGATCTAAATCCTACGAAGGCAATAGCATCAGCTATGAAAATACCTTCATTTGTGGAGATGGCTGATATTTGTTTAAAGATTGTAGAACCATCAGATGCTGTTAAGCCATGCTGAAAGATTACTGAGTGCTATATTATTATCAGTGAGACTATAGGGTTATATTAAAAAGATATATTGTATGTCTATTTGTAAATTGTATATATTTTCATACTGTGAGTTGTATAAAAACGTTAAGAGATGATTCTGTTTTCCATTTAAAATATATATATATATATAATAAGAATACACAGAGATACATGTAAAGATTTAATTCTAGATAATATAGATAATTCTAGAAGATCTTAGAAGATAATATCAAATTTTTTATATATCTTCCATACAAATGAGTGTTAAATGAATGGATGGAATATTTATATCATTATCGTGAAATGAGAGATTTTGTGATAGATTATATATTAGGTGAATAATTTTATATATTAAGTTATCAGTGCAGTGTTTACTTATCGATATATAAAACGAGCAATAGAATATTTTGTCAAGAGTCAATTAAGACTCTGCGAAACGATTTTTACATTCCAAAATCTTGTGTCTTTATTTTCTTTTTTTTTAATCAGTCAAAGTTCCGAGTGTGAAGAATAATAGGACGAAATATAATAATCTTCGACTTCTCCCGGTATCTGCACACCATCTAATTCAACTGCGAGGGCGTGATATCTTTTCCTAACATGATGGGCTGCCATTTTTGGTTGCCTATCCCTTGTAAAGATCCCTTTTCTATTGCCACCCACTCTGGTATACGCTGCAATATGTAAATATTGTAAATATAATTAATAAAAATTGTTCACGAGCCAATTCTTATAAATTCTAGCGAAATTCATTCAATCTTTTAATAATATCCCTTGTAAATTAAAAACAGTTGTTAATTAAAAATATATGTTTTTTTATAATTATGCATAAGAAATTGCGAAAAAATTGCACACAATCTTTCATAATCTGTAGTAAGGTGATGTGCCTTCACAATAATATTAATATAAATTTATAAGATAGATTAGTAAAGATTATAGTAAAATAAATTATATTATTAAATTAATAAGCAATGTATGAATTTTTTATTCGGTACTCACTTTGTGCTGTGCGGAAATCGGCAAAGTTCCAGATAAATTCGCCGATGAAGTAGCCTTCATGTCGTAAGCGATCGAAGGCCTCGAAGTGTTTAGAGAGCAATTCCTTCTGATATTCTTCGCTCCACACATATTCCGGTAGCTGCAAATAATTGATGTAAGAAAAATAATGATATAATAATAAAACAAAATACACAAAATACAAATATTTAACAATTATTTTCTATCTTCTGATTTATTTTTCTTATATTGCTTTGCTTTATTTTTGTTTTTGATGCTGATTTTATTTTTATGTTAAAAATGTCCTTCTATATTTTTATTTTATATTTATTTTATTGAAATGTATAAAATATGTAAATGTATGTAAAATAGCTTTTTTGTGATAATAAGGCGGATTTTACCTCGTGCAAACCGGGCATGGTGTCAGCTCCGTATTCGGATATAAGTACCGGTTTATTATATTTTTTATGCCAAGCCTCGGCTTCTTCATATACCCTGTCATTGATCATGTCAATTCTGCCGGGATTGCTATACCAGGCGTTATAACGATTAAAACTGATCACATCGAGAAATTGACCAGCTTTGTCTTCCTAAAATTTGCAATATCTATTTATTGATAATTTACAATTTATTAAAAGTGTAATGAAATCTCAAAAGAAAAGCTTTTAAAGAATAATAGAATAATTAGATAAACATATTATAATAAACGAATAATTAGATAAGCACACCCACACAAGAAATTGCATTTATGTAACTTTAATTTGATTTAGCTATACGTGTTTTTAGTTGGAAATGCTTAACGTTGAAAATTAGATAATTGTCAAGAGAATGTTAGAGGAAGATTTTTTTTATATTACAAGTGTCCGAGTTAGAGAGCAAACATTAATTTATTTTATTTACATTACCTGAACTGCACGAGCCAAAGCAATAGTGACCGGCCTAGTGGGATCGATTGCTTTGGTATGCTGAGCGATCTGTTTGAAATATTCGTCGGCCTCAGCCAGTTGAGTCCTCGGCTCATTAGCTAGAGACCACATGATCACGGAAGGCCGATTTTTGTCTCTGCGGATGAGCTCCGAGAGCGAGTCCTTGTGACGCGAAAGCAACGATGGCGAAAAGTTTTCCGTGTCGACGGAAGGACACTCGTCGATTATAAGAAAGCCCAATCTTCACAGAATATAATTTAATAAAGTAAAGTAAAGCCGAACAAATTAAAGTGAAAAGAGGTATAAAAAGAACTGACTTTATGAAAAAGAGGAATAAGAGATTAAAAATTTATGATAAATTTCTCAGATATCAGGCAATTTTAGATACCTGTCAGCCATATCAAGAACCTCGTCACTATAAGGATAATGGCTGGTCCTGTAAGCATTGGCCCCGACCCACTGGAGCAATTCGTGATCCCTGACAGAGGTGACGAGATCAAAGCCACGTCCTCTGATAGCAGAGTCCTCGTGCTTGCCGAAACCACGCATATACACCGGTCGATCGTTTAATAGCAGGCTCGTGTTAGTCCACGCCAAGGTCCTGATACCGATCGGCAATCGGTAAATGTCCACCTTGGTGTCATTTTCCACCCACAACTTCACCTGAAAAGAGAGAGTGTTGTTTTGTCAAACAAATTTTAGTATCTTGAAATAATTCATGGAACAAGTAAAAATTATTTTATCATATAATATCTTACAAAGAGTCTTCTTATCAACATTTTTTAAGCAATTTGGAATTAATTTTGTGACAGAAAAAGATATTAAGACATTTGCTTTTGAATAATCAGGTGATCAAAGACCAAAGTACCTCCAAAGTGTACAGGTAACCCGGTTTGGAATCCATGCCTCTGGGCCACCAGAGTTTGACGAACGGAACCTTCAAGGTACCAGACAGGCCTTCGACGGGTTCATTGATAGCCAGATTTTGCTCGGCGTCGTACAGAGAAACCATGCAGATTGGTATTTCTCCCTCGCGTAATCCATTTGGTTGTATGATATACTTGACAATTCCCATCTCGCCGATCAAGCTTGTTCTCACCGAGATGTCCTCGACGTAGACGCGCGGCGTGGTGTACAGTAAAACGGATCTTCGCAAAGTGTCCCAAAGTGTGTGAACTTACACTTTCAGAATAAAATTTATTTTATCCTGAATATAATTAACGTCTGATTGACTTTGATCTAGTAAACGCAGAATTTCAAGCGCGAAACATCAATATATAGAAAAAGAAAATTATTTCAAGTTTAAATTATTTGATAAAAAATGATTTAATGGAATCATTATAATGTTTTATTTAATTATTACGAGAACTAATATTTATAATTTTAATTATTACGAGAACTAATATTTATAATTATAAATATTAGTTCTCGTAATAATTAAATAAAACATTATAAATTAACTATTAAAAATATCTAAATTTAATACATAAATTTGAAAATATTTTCATAAATGTTCGATATAAATGTTATAAATATAATCGTTTTACAAATGAAAACTATATTTTCATTACACATTTCTATATCAATTAAAAATAAATCACTATTACTATCACAATAACTATTTTGCAATTATCTTAAATTATTGTACTGTGACTAAAATAATCAAATGGTGCATCTGTATTTTTCAACGTTACAGACCGAGACCTTTTTTTATCGAGTAACGGAAATCTGACCTCGACTATCTCGTAACACATCGAATGCTCTCTCTAGTTTTTCCACAAAGCCTTTGATAAAGATTTATTTGTGAAACGCGTCAGAGAGCTCAAAAAACCTCTCGTAATGCAACAGCAAACGTGATTATACATGCTGGGTATTTTCATTTATCTGATATAATTGTTGATCGAGAAGACTGTATTTTTAAACTAATTACTTCCTTTCAAAGATTCGATATTTAATTTAATAAACGAGATTTTTCAATTCTTTTTAATCTGTCTATCTATTGACAAATTTAAGAAAAATAAATAGATTAAAAGGAACTTGTTCATACGAATTTAATATTAATTGAAAACAAAAAAGGACACAACAATATCAATTAAATTTATAAAAAGATTTTTTGCTTGTTTCAATTATCGAAATTATGACTGCGTCATTCGAATTGTTTACGAATGAAGAATTAAAAATATATATAATTGATTTTTGATTGCATGATCTTACCTATGTATACCCGCGTAGTTGAAGAAGTCGAAGGTATACGTCTGCATGTGTGCGGTGCCGTTGTCAGTGACCATCTCCACGATTTTTCCCTGGGGTACACTGGTTTGTAATAGGGTGTTATCTACGGCGACGGTAATACGATTCTCGGCACCGAAGGTCAGATACGACGAGAGCTCCCCTTCAAAGGGGAGATGACCCATTTCGTGATTGGTCACCAAGACGCCGTTAATCCACTAATTGCAAGCGTACAAAACTATGAATCGCATTAATACTTGAAAAAACATATGCTTTTATATATTAGATAAAATCTTCTCTAGGAAACGTTATTATTTTTAAAATAATTATTATATAAATAAATATATATAAATAAATATAATATTGTTACTTTTTAAAATTATAATTATATATATAATAAATATATATAATTATCATTTTAATTATATATTTAAAATAATATACATATACACTTATTTCTAATCGGGAAAAAAATCAATGTTATTATATAATCCAGATTTTGGAAGATCTTCTGCTTCTTTTTTCATATTTTTTAAATTATCTTCTATATTTTCAAATTAATAACGATCTAGATAACACAAAAAGCCAAAAGGCATCTTAAAAAGACGTCGAAAGGACGATAAAACATCTTCAAATCGTTCTTTAGACGATAGAAATATATGTTATCTGAAAAATTTTCGACTTTTCATATTTTTTCGTTTTGGGGATAAAAGACTGCAAAGGATGCTTACCACTTGGGCGAGATAGTTGACCGAGCCGAATCTGACAAAAACCCGCTGATCCCGCCAGAACGAGGGCACGAAGAAGGTCCTTTGATACCATACGGCACCGACATGATCCCTGAGATTCCGTGATGTTGTGATATCGTTGTAAGATGAGGGCACCGGCATCTTCATCACTTCACTAGCCTGTGTACAAAGCCGGTCAAATCTTGCATGAACAGATCTAATGATGAGAGTTAATGACAGACAACGTGCAATTATGCGAGATTATAAAAGATACGTGACTCGAAATGCGAAAAAAATCGGGTAAATATAGAATACAATTCAGCATTACGTTTATTGTTTTAAAAAGTCACACTGAACATAAAGAAGTGTAAATAAATCTAAATCTAAATTTTATATAGGATTCTACTATAATTCCAATAAATTATTTATTTAATTATTGCTCTTCTTTTTTTAATTGTATTAATTTTTTAATTACGATTTGATCATGCTTTTTTCAATTACAAATTTTTTGACAAATTTGACATATGACTTGAGACATAATAAAAAACCTGAATTTCTAACATTTATAAAAATGTATTTGTATTTTTTAAATTTAAGTTAATTCTAATTTTTGTATATTTGTTATTGTTGATTATTATTTCACATAAGATTACAATACCTTCGATAGATCCAAGGCGTACCATCCTTCTCTGTAACCCCTTAGAGCATCTCCTTCAGACACGGCGAAATCCCATAATCCATCAAGCGATCTTACCTGCCAAAGAAAAAGAATGAAGAAAATGCAATGTTTTTTTCATTGCATTCTCATATAAAACTTTTATTAAATGTAGAAAATTATAATAAAAACAATATAAAAATGCACTAATACAAGACAATAATTTTTAACTTATAAATATTTATTAATTTTTTATTATCTTAATATTTTTCTTAATAAAAAATTAAAAAAATAATTTGGAATCATCATAGATTTAATAAACGAAATAAATTGAATTTAAGATCACAAATATATTAAAGTCTTTTATAATAAATATTAAATTATCTTCCTGTTATAAATTCGATTTGTAGAAATGTAAAATCGTGGATTGATTATCTCAAACTCGCAGATTCGGGCGGCGTTAAATGATCAATGTAATGTCATCAAGATTTACCTCGCGAGATTCACTTTCTCTAGGATACAGCAGACCAGGAAGCGGAATTGGAAATGCATCCTCGTAAGGCAACGGTGCCTCAATCTTGATCGTTGCGTCGAAAAAATCCGTTGGTGACTCTGGCCCGGACTCGCCGGCCATTGCAGAGCCGATTAACAGGAAGATCAAATGCCACATACTTTTGCGGCCCTCCTAAATTAATACCCGCATTCATATAATTGAGAGATCTTAAGATTTACAATCTCAAGATAGATAAATCGATGGTATATAAATAAATCGATGGTAGAAAAATGATATAATTTCGTGAAACTATATTTTAGGGAGAAAAAACCTCTTATTTGAAGAAATCTGTTTTCTTTAAGACTCGAAAAACGATTTATATTACTTTATAAATATTATTAAACTATTTCTTTAAATTTTATTCGATAGTTTATTTTCGAAGATTTTGGATAATTTTATTATGATTAAATACACAATGTGTTTGGTAAAGGAAGAATTTTGGTAGATTTTTCAAGTTATACTTCTTTAACATTAAGCGATTCGAATATGACACCGTATATTTTGCAAATAAGCTAATTTATTGTAATTTTTGTTTTTTTTTACAGAACCATAAAATTACATGTTCTGGAATTGATATTTGATGTGAAAATTTAATGATAATTATATGTAATTAATTATATAATTATGATATAATGAAGAAGAATTTAATATATAATTTAATGAACCTCTTCAGAATACAAAGAATCCAATTAGTTCACAATAATTAAAATATCATTGAAAGTCTTTTGTTATACAGTTATAATATTAATCAATAAATATGTGTCAATATTCTTGTGATTAGTCGGCTATTTCCAGAATTGCATCATTTTCTCTATGATAAATGAAAATAACAATTTCCAAAGCCTGCATATAACAAAGCTCGACCTGACATGATATAACACTGGTTCTTTTTTAACACAGAAAATAACCTTTATGCTTATCGTTTAACCTTACGCCACGTCAAACGTCATATAGCTGTCAGTTATCTCTCATTGCTTATTTCTCTATGATATGACGAATAGTCATGACGAGTGACACTTGTGACCCCCTTTCTTCATTACGAATGGTTATGACTTGCAACTATATAAGTATCACACAATTCTCTTCGAAAATAGAATACTGTCTTTTCGTAAATTTTAAGGTACTTGCAACGCGTGCACATATATTACACTTAATATGTATTTTATATATATTATAATAATATATATAAATTATATTAATAGTAATCGATATATGCACTTACGTTTTTGATAGGATCAAATCGACTAATCGCGACAACTGACTACAGTCGACTGATGCAAATAGCGAATATCCGATACAGAATCAGTAAATATCGTTCATCTGATAAGAAATTTGTAATTATCACATTTTTGCGCCGTTTCCAGATAATATCTATCTCTCCAATCAGACAGAAAATACATTATTAAAGCATTATTAAATAAACATGGTAATGGTCTTATTATGACATTATCATCACGAATCGCAAGAAGGTGTGGATTCTGATCTTATGATTACTCAATTATATTTGTTATATTGACTGAAATTGAAATAATCAAAATTGTTCGTCTGTGCCTGATATGATATGCTGTTTAAATAATATTTGTTTTCAAATAAGGAAATTTTATAAATTAAGATTAATTAAAAATTAAAATTTAATTTAATGAATGTTTATATATCTTATATATTGTTGATTTCTAGAATAAATTATTGTTTTAATCATCTATCTATAAAGTATAATCTAAAAATATGCTAAGTTTCTTTGATTATTAACTCTGTGTTTTACGTCACATTTTTTTTTCAAGATTCCTTGAGATAAAAATGTTAAGATATATCTGTTAAGGACAATAGAAGATGTGTAATTTGCTTAGCAATTATTTCTGTTTTCTATTTTCAAAGGTATGTCTCATTGAATAAAAGTTGTTTGTGAGCCATCCTGTGACTGCTTATTTTTTTTCTTAATTTTATTCCACACCCACGAAGAGAAGAAGACCGGTCTTCTGGCATTTATTCTTTCATGTGAAGAGGTTCTAAGAAGTGCTCTTCGACGGCGAATCATTTCGCAGTGTATCTCGAATAATTGATGCTTGAAAAATCATTTTACATTTCTTGCTACAATTAAAAAAAAATTATAGTCTGTAAAATTTTTAAAGTAAGTAATTGCATATTGCAAAAATAACAAATTAAAATCATTCATTTGATTATTAAGAAAACAAAAAGGAATTTTAAAAATTAAACATTATCGAAAAATTTAAATATGTAATTTACAATTTTAAATTTTCGAAAATATAAAATTCAGACTAGGCAATTGTAAATTCTTTTTTTATTATATATTAAATTTAGAATAATATATCTTTTATATAATGCTTATATTAATTAAATTATTTATACATAAAATGTCTTAGAGTTAAAAATATAGAAAAAATAAAAAGTTAAGACAATTTTAATTCATTTTTTGCTTTAATGAAAAACTGACTTAAAATTTTTAAAAGATTTCAATGTGTGCGTGTGTGTCATGTGATTTAAAAATTCTTCTTTTAAATATCCTAATGTTGGAAGTAAATAAGCGTAATAATGTTCTTTATTGATTAATTTTTAAAGAGTCGACTTTAAATTCCACTTTTTCCAACTGTTTGTCTTTTTTTCAATGAAAGAATCTGTCTGGTTGAGTGATTGGTTTCGCATGACCTTTCGACGAAAGCTAACTATCGGGCAATGAGCCTGTCGCACCCCACATACACACACATTCCGCGGGCTCTCGTTCGCAGCAATATCGGCTTCCTGGCACCGTGCCCTCCTACGAGAGCAGACTTCCCTTCCCAAAGCATCAAATCGTTTCCTCGTGTCATGTACAGATCCACTACGGTACTGGTGTCCCTAATTTCTCGAATAGACACCATTGTTCAGCTCTGAACTTTAACACCCGATTATAATATATAGCCATCAATTTTGTCATCTTTTGTTACTTCGAAATTTTGTCACGCGAGATATTTTCTTCAAGAAAATTTATTTCAATCGTTTTATTAATTATCTTTATCAAAAGATGCGATATGCGAAACATTCATCACTTCTGACGAAAAAGGAAAGTATTAAAATTAATGATAATTAATGCTACCGTGTAATTAATAATAATTAGTAAGGTACAAAAAAGCATAAGTACAATGTAATAGAATAATTAGAATATTTCTATTATAATAATTTAAATTTTGAACGGTATAAAAGACATTAAATAATTTCTAATGTAATGAATTAATAAATGTAATTAATAAATCCTGTTGTCGATTCTCTCAGAATTTATCTATTCTTACGTTAGCTGTCAATAAAATTTCTAATCGTGGTCTCACTTCTTCTCCCGATTTCTCTCGATTTATGCTAGCATAGATAATTCATAGACTCAATTTCATATTCGAGATAATTGATCCGCGAAAGCCATAAGACTGTAAAATAGGTGATCCTAACGGACGCTCTCGCGTGCACATTTTCGTAACACCCGCCGCGTGGTTGAATTTATTAAGACCGATATATTCATATCTCTCGAGCGCGGTGAAGTGTAAGAGGCGCAATTACGAGAGATGAAAATGGAGCAGTAATGATATAACGATGCTAATATTCTATCGCTGCAGGATAGGTCAGATTACCTTATGCAGGTCTCTTAATTTCCTAAATATCGCACATGGAAATAAAAATTGAAAAAGGCAAAGCAAAAATGGAATGAAAATTTCGCGAGATATTTTTTATCATTTTAGTCTATTAAATTTTACGAAGATAAATTGCTTTTTAAAGGACATATTTTAAATGCATAAATATACCGTTAAAATCGATAGACGTATTGTTCGATTTTCCGCGCTTAAGGCATGCAGGAAATTACATTGGACGGCGTCTGGAAAATGAAGTATCGTTCGGTCGCCGGAATTACGGCTTTTCAGCCAAAATTTCAGAACGGATTGCCGACAAATTGTTACGAAAGACGAGACAATTTTAATTGTTAAAAGAGATGCCGCAAAACATAGGACAACCTACGATTAATGGTCATAATTTCCAAAGCTTTGCATAAACAGATAATTCATACAATCATTATTTTAATATGAAAAAATAATAGTGTTTGAAAAAGAACAAAAGTAATATACTGATACGAGCACGAAAATATACTTAACTACAAAAAATTTTTTTTTAGAGAGAACGTAGATAATTAATTATCGAAATATTTTTAATAATTATAAATGGACGTTTTGATAATTACTTGTGAAAAGAATAAATGTCGAAAAGTTTTTTATGTCTATTAAAAATATTTTGTATTATGTTTTTTAAAAAAATTTTTAGCATCGGTTTATTTCTTTTTCAAATTTTTTTTTATATAAACTTATTAATATTTTTTAAGATCGTAATTTAAAATTCCTCAAATTTATCGTCGCTCCGTTGACTCCTTTGATAACGAAAAGGCACGAGATCAACAAGATTATGATGAAAAGACTCATCGTTAATTAAATAGATAAACATTACATTTTGCTAATTAAACCACACTTTATTAAAGGTAATTGCTGCGAAAATAAACAGAAATGTTTCCCATGTGTATATAAGATATCAAGAATGTATCGTAGTTAATTATCAGATGTTATACATCTGTCGCTTTATCAACTGTGAATTTTTTACTGATAAATTTTTAATTAACTATATTGTTGATCTCGCAATTAATAAATCATAATATTATTGGAGATATATTATTGGAGGGGAGTAACCAACCTTGCAGCGATCGCCGCGCTCCATCGTGAGTCCTGACATGGCATCTGACGAAAAATTGCCGAAAACCGGAGCAGCTCCAGCCATCTCTCAATGTGTATCTGAGCAATTTTAATTATACATTTAAAGTGAAAAGAATCTTTTCTTCTCGTGAATGATATCACTCGAATTCCTTTCTCTTTGTCTTTATACGCTGTCTTTTTTTTCGTTCCTTGTAATTCCACACTTGATTTTTCTTTTAAATATGACTTTTTGTTTTTTTTTCTTTCTTCCCTTTCACACTGTGTTTCGTATTTCTTCACTGGATTTCTTCACTGGATTTTGATACTTAGCTTATCGAATCGAAAATTTTTCTTTTATTAATTCACATTAATATCCTTCAAACTCCGTTGAGTACAATTCTTTCCTCTTGTTTATACAGTTAGAACTGCATTATCTTATTAATATAGATGGAGACTAACATAGAGAAAAGAATATCTATGCTACATTAATGTAATTATTACAAAAGTTAGAATTATAAAGGACGGAAACAAACAATTAATTCGCCAATTTGAAATTATCTGCACTTGCGTAAATCGTCATTAATTTCGATTGTATATTAAATTTTCTTTCTTTTTCCTCCTTAAGTCATAGCGAGAAGCACCAAGTGTTCAAATCCGCGCGTTAACCCGGAGACTGTGAACTCTCGATGTGCAACACTCGAGCCTGAGCCTCGGGCTCGCCGAGCGTGACTACTTCGCTCCGGCGGCGACGAGCAGAGCTGAGGCCCGCAGGAAGCCGACTCGAAAATCTCGCGCTCCTCTCCTCGCTTCCTCGTATTCTCGTTCTCACCATCGATGTTTTTTATTGTTAAGAAGTACAGATAAATGAAATTATTTAATGAAATTAAAACTTCAGAATGCTATTTTATTCTTTGCAAAATATTTCCATGAATATAGATTCATGGAAATATTTTGGAAAGAATAAAAATTGAGATCATAGTTGTTGCGTCCTTTCAATTATAAATCTCTATATATCTCTCTATGATCTCAATTTTTATTCTTTCCAAAATATTTCCATGAACCTATATTCATCGAAATATTTTGGAAAGAATAAAATAGCATTCTTAAGTTTTAATTTCGTTAAATAATTTCATTTATATATATATATATATATTTCTAATATTTACTATACCAAAATATATCATAAAATTTAAATAAGTTATTAAAATAAATTTATATATTTATAAATTTATATATTTATGTATATAAATTAAAAATGCTAAAGTTTTACAAATTTTATATATTAGTGTGTTATATAAGTGTGTTGCATTAAAAGAAGTAATAATGCATTAATAAACAAAATTTTGAATGATTATGATATAAGAAGATATAATAAGATATAATGAAAATAATTATCTCTCTCTCTCTCTCTTTCTTTAATAAAGATATACAATTTTTTATCAACATAAAGTATACGAGTCACGAAAAGCATTATTTATATAAATTAAGATGATTATTATTTTGCTCTTCTTATTTATTTTATATTAAATAATTATTTAATTTATTAATCGTTATATTTAAAATTAGAAATTTTGGAAAGTGATCAAATAAAAGTGATCATATGAAAGTGATCAAATTAATTTTAATGTATTTTTATGACATATTCTGAGTACATAATAGTAATTAAATTTTTGAAGAGAAGTGTTAATCTTTAGAAAGCGAACACACAGAAATAAATTATACAACCTATACATTTTAAATAAACTCTCTACCAGAATTTATTTTCTTTCAAGTTTGCTTTTAAATTTGAGCATAGTTAAACATGTTTTTGGACATCTGTCGCATATCTTCACCTCATTTTAGGTGAAATTGTCGTTGTTGTCACGTATTACACATACGATTACTGCTATCACATTCCCACACGTGCTCTGCATGTTTTTAAATTAAATAACCTTGTGTACATGTAACTGATATTCTGTTATCGTACGAGAATTCTCCTATTTATTCTCCTATTACAAAAGATTCTACTTATCTTTATTGTCAGAAGAAAAAAGATAAATATAATAAAACAAATAAAATAATATAAAGAATACAATATTTTAAAATAAATAAAACAAAACAATATATTTTATTCTATATAATATTTAAATGTAAATATCAATATTTAAATAATATTATTTAGGAAGAAATATTTATGAATATTTTTACAAGAACATCTATGATATACGTAATATAATTCTTTTATGGATTTCCAGTATTAACAATATTGGAAAATAGCCTTTATCTTTCGTCGCATTAATCAATTATTTTCTCACATGTACATTGACAACAAATTTTATTAATTGTAATCTAACAAAAAGAAATTTGTGTAATCTTAAAAAAATGCATATAATTAAGAAAAAAATTCTATGTATATGTATATGTATGTGTTGTGCGAAAAAAAATTTTAGCAAATTCTATTTTCACGCGACTACAGTAATTCTCACTGATGTAACTTCTCACTCTCGGTTTGTTATCATCGTCGAAGAATACCTGCTCTAAGGAACTATCAATTGGACGATCTCGACGATTGCGGAAAGGAATCGCGTAGGGAAGAAGAAAAGTAGAAGAAAAGAAACGGCGAGTGAGCTCAGGTTAACGACCATCCGATAAGACGTTAGAGAATAGAACGGTCGATAGTATTTTCCAGCGAATATTTTACGTTTATCCATTTTTTCCTCGCGTATTCTCCTCTTTTTTATATAAATTAAAATAAAAATTAAAATAAAATACTCAATTAAAGCAAACAATCGCCGATAGGGTTGATCGTCTCTTTTATATTTCTCTTTACTTAAATTAATCATAGTCTGATAAGGCATTGCGAGGGAAGATATACATAATTTCCAATCTTCGTAATTTTTAATCAAATATAGACCGGTATTCCTGATCCATTTTTATATTTAAAATCGTCTTGGGTAAGATTTGAAAGTGTGGTATGACTATTTCATTGGTTAAACGAAATCTTAAGACGATTCAAACCCCACAGCCTGAGACTTAAAATGATTTTAAATATAAGAACGGTTTATGAATAAAGTGGGATATAGAATGTAATGGATTAATTAATTCTAGAGATTTCTTTGTCGAAAGATTAAATGTCAATATCTTGTAAACAATAATTAATAAATTAATAAATAAATATTAATAATTAATAATTGTATTATACTATATAAATATTTAATATTTAATATATAATATTTTTAACATTTAACTTTCAATATTTATTTCTTAATAAATAAAACATTAAATATAAATTATCAATTATATTAATAATTTATATTTAATATTTACTAATAAATAAACATTAAATATTAATTATTACTTATATTAATAATTAATTATTTATAATTTAAAATTGTAATTAATAAATAAATATTAAATGTTAAAATTATAATTAATAATTTCCAAATGTATAAAAAATAATTTCTAATTATTCTTATTTTCTCGAAGATGTCTTAAATATTTCTTTGCGGGCTCACAAAATATATGTATATGATAGATTGAAAAATACATACGTATATCTCATATGATATAATTATATATCCCACGATAAATGTCGTCTAATTATGTTAACATTGACGCGCCGAAATATTTCTCCGCGCGTTACATCGATCAATGTCAAGTAACGAAAGGAATGCGCGGTAAAAACAGAACCATTTTTTGCTCAACAATGTCAACAATGTGCTGCTTACCAAGCTACGAAACTCGTTTAATTCAATTCATACGCTCTTCTCGTTAACATCTCGTCCTCCGGAAATTCCTCTTATCCTAAACGTAATATAAATGTAGACTGCGCGTCGTGTGAATAAGTGTCGCGTCTTGAATAAGTGTGTTTAAAGATAGAAAGGACGTTTCTCTCGACCAACGGGTTAGTTCTTCTCTTTCCAGCGTAAGAGAGATAAAAGATAAGTCCTCTTTCCAATATCTACAACAGAGGTCTCTCGCGATTAAGATAGCGAGTGCGCTATCTGCATTTATCGCATCTATGCTTTTCAGAGGACACTTTATTTTCAAACTTCACATTGAGCATCGAATAACAGCTGCTATTACTCTGTTTATTATCCTGCGAGCCTCAAATGCATTCCTCCACATTTCACTCAACGATCTTTATTCAAGTAAATAGTGAAAGGTCTTTTGATGCAGAAATCTTCGCAATCCGGATTCCGCAAGGTTTAAATCTGCAGTCATATTCACGTGACGCGTTATCCCTGGCTAGTCGATAAAGGAGAACTCTGCTTTATCGACGTCATCGTCTTCAAATTCTCAGTAACAGTCCAGTGTACGGTCGACTCGCGAGCATTTCATCTTGACGCTGTTTAGTGTGAGTAGTTTTTCAGTTAATATTCGCTTAAACGTTTTGCACGTTAAATATAAACTCGATACACTAGCTGCTTTCGTTATATTGCCTGTCACAAGCGTTTTTAAGACTTCAAAATCAATATTTCTAAATCGCCAATCATTCGCGTGTCGCCAAATCATGATGGCGTTGTTAGTTGCTGTAACGAGAATAATTTCAGAGAGGTATCCCCACAGCATTGCATATCTAGAAAACATTCAAAGGATATCCCGAAAATATCTTTCTCCGAAAGGTATCTTAAGATATCTTGTAGATATCTAATGCATTAATAAACTCGATAAAAATTATTCAGCAAAAGTTACTAGGTACTTTACTTAATACATACATTATTATTACGTTATGCAAGAATATATCACTTTATATGTGTCTTACATGTACTATCTTTATTGAAAAATTATTATTAAAAATTATCCCTTTTTATTATTAAAATTATTATAAAATTATAAAATTTTTATTAAAAATTATTATTCTATTATTATTAAAAAATTATTATCCTTTTTACTTTCTTTTTCAGGATTCCGGGCGGTGAACCCGGATTCGCGCCAAGCGGCCATGATGACGTAATCAAGTCGCCGTCGGCGCGATGGTCGTAGCCGCGCCGCGCGCATGCGCCCCGCGCGCGAGTCCGTAACCGGCGCGCCGCGTCGCATTTGGATTTGCAGCCGGCGCAGTTGCATCGAATTCCGCGTTTCCCGCGAGTTCTCGTCGCGACTCTCTCCGTCTGATACTGTGCGTGGTCGTCGAACGATTTCGCGGGTGGCGAGAGAAAGTCGATGATCGATCGTGTTCGCGATCGCGATCAAGTGTTCGAAGTGCTACGAGAAGCTACGAGAGTTTCTCGACGCGTTCGTTTCGCGAAGTATTTTCGTCGTCGTGTCTCGCGAATGCGAATCTTCATCGCCGAAGAATTAATAACGCGAAAAACAGCAGGGTCGATGAACCATCGTTTTATTATATCGTTAGGAATGCGATACGTGAAGACCGCCATGTTTGCGTCGCGAAATTCGGATCGCGGCGGAAATAGTCATCGCCGTGGTTCCCGCGCTTCCCGTCGACGATGAATCGCGCATTATGGCGGAAATGATCGCGAGTGTCGCGTGAAGAGAGTCTCGCGTTTCGCGAAATAATTCTTCTCGTGGTGATTGAAGAATATAATCAACTGCGTCGCCCTTGACAAGAAAAAGGACAACGTATTTACATTAAGATACTTTGATGGGACGATTCACGGTGCTCCGACAGCAGTACAACGATCGGTGAGTAAATTTGTCGAATTCTTTTCTTTCGAGAGATTTCTTTTCTTTTATTTTGAGAGAAATTTTTTTTTGAAAGAAATATTATTGGAAATTATTCATTTGTAATTACATTTGAAAATATGGACGAATAATTTTATTATTAAGTAAACAAAGTTTCTTGATTAATTTACGTAAAATATTTTCTTAAGAAAAATAGTCATTTTGAGTTACATTTAAATAGATGAATTTTCTGCGATTTTATGCAATTAAAATCATTAAAAATAAAATTTTTCTTCGCTTTATTTCAAGAAAGTACTTAAGTAGAATCTCTAAAACCTAAACAAAGCTTATTTGAAATAGAGAAATTATTTAATAAAGCATTTTATTAAAAGTAACAAGAAGAAAAAAATAATAATTTTCAATAAAATTTCTTTAGAAATAGAATCGGTATCAATATCTCTTATTCAAACATATAGTACATATTACGTATAATACATAGTATTAAATAATACACATGTCTTATTAAACTAAATAAAATTATAAAAAATTCATAAAGTTTTTATTATTATAAAGTTTATAATATTATTACAAACTTATAAAATTTTTATAATTTTATTTAGTTTAATAAAATATATGTATCATCTTATTTAAAATTTATATTTTATATATGTATAACGCGCGAGATATTTTTAATATAAGAATACTGTAAAAATTAATTAAATATTGATTAAATTATCGATTAAATAATTAGAATTTTATTCAACTATAAGAAAAAAAAATCGTGCGCAACTTTTTTAAAGGAAAATTAAATTTTAGATTGATTAAAATAAAATGAAATGTTGCATTGGTTTATGGATATGAATTATAAAAACAAAAATACTTTTATTCAAGAAATTTCTTTGATTTCAAATTAATATATTTTGCTTTACTTTAAAAATTGTCATTGACGCAAAATTTTTGCGAAATTATAATCTATTCTTTTAATTATCTATTCCTTTTTTTCGTTCCATGATTTAAAATTTACAACTAGAATCGATCGTTTGGGACGTTTATGACCTCGTAATTCTCGATATATCGCTAAATTACCTTTTTTCATGAGGCGTTATATTTTCCGGGAAATAGATTGCATTTCGATAATTTCCTTCACTAAATCAAATTAATGTCTTCATGTACTATATAAACGTGTAACATACATTAATGTATATATTCATAATTAATGATAACATTAGAGTTATAGAGCATTGATGGCAAATATTACATTTCGCATATGTACGGATTAAACGATTGTATCAGTTTCATTGTAAAGCTATCGAAATGAAATTATCATTTATGATTCGTTTCGCGATTTATCAAACAAAATATTGTTTAATTATCTATTTATTTCTCTAGTTTTATTGTAATTGTATTATGATGTTTACAAATAGATAATTCGAATTTATAGGTAATTACAAGTCGTGTGAGTTTTTTATGCTTAGAGAAACGATTTCGGAAGCATTATCGTTTATTGCCGTTGCACAATATTTAATATATTAAATATACAATAAAAATTATAAAAAATAATTATTTATTATTTATTAGTTATCGCAATTAAATATGCAAGTAAGAAAAAGAATAGATTATCTAACAATATCTTAATCATTTTATTAGCTCTATTTAATATGCATAACTCTGAGAGAGATACAGATCTCTCCCTCTCTCTATCTCTCTCTCAAATTAACTTGAATAATCTGAAATTTACATCCGCTAATTTTTCCATCACCATTGAAATTCGTTCAGGGTCGGCCACATTTAATTGGCAAAAAAGGCGATTGACCCTTGACAGAAGTTCACCACCCTTCAGAACAATCAGCAACTTCCGGTGTGTCGGGCCTGCCTACTTGTGAATCACTTTGATATTTCTGTGTGTATCAATGTTTTTATCCGTCTGCTTTAATTAATACATTCATAAGGCGATGCCTTTTTTTTACCGCGCTATTCGTCATTGTTCGTGAAGGCGGTTGCTGTTCGTCTGACCTATTCATTATCTCCTCCTCTTTTCCCTTTATCGAGCGGCATTTTAATGGTATGTCATTTGACATTTTACGATTTAGCTATCTCGAACAGCCGCACGGAATTATATTTCGCAAATAGAGAGACATTCATTATATTATACATAAATTACAAATGCATAATATGTAATAATAGACATTTGCTTCAAAATTGGAAATTGCAACTGATGAAAGAATCTGTTTCATTATGCTAATATTAAAAAAATTGTTAATTTTAAACTATTTTGAAATTTTTATCTTACTTTAATATAAAGTCTAGAATTAAAATAATTAAAAGTGATAGAAAAGAATAAAGAAATTTATATTATAATTTATTTTTTTTAATTAAGAATTTTATATATATTTTGCTTTTTTATATTAAATTAATAATAATATTAATAATAAATTTAATTAAATTAATTATTTAATTAATAATAAATTTTATATTAAATTTATAAAATAGATTAAAAATAAGTAAAAAATATAACAGAGAGATAAAATAAAACACTAGATTAATCTCTAAATAAATTAAAAGAATAGACGTGATGGGAAATTAATCTTGCAGGAAGCGCTTTTTGATTCCGTTTTACTATTGAAAAATATAGATAAAAGGGTTAAATTTAGGTTTTACTATTTCGCGAGAGTCAGTGTCGTGCCGATTGTCGCGGCACCCTATTGGAGAGGAACAGGAGGGCATATCCACTTCCGGCGCAGCACCCACACGTCTTGGGCAGGATGAATCCGTCGCGGGGCTTATCTTGCAACGTGTACTCTTATCTCGCGGGAAGCGGCTGGTCGTTGGCCCACACATTGCCCGTTGATTTAACCGTCCTATTCATCGCACGCTGTTGTACATACATACGTTTGTTGATGATGGGTTTTAAAAGCGTTTCGGGCTTGACGCGCTTTGTATACATAATTAATTGGCCGATATCATCGGGCGGTTATCAGGCGACCGCAGCCTCACGTAACTCGCCTTTCGGATAGTCTCATCCCTCAAGATCGCTTCTTCGCACCCGATACAAGTCTCATGAATTTTAGAGTCTCATCTTCATCTTCTTGAGGATATTAATCTAACATATGTATCATTTGTTATTATCGGATTCAAATATCGTGACTTTCTGATGTTGTTAATTATTGTTTGGTGATTAATATGATTATTCAAGTTGACTATAATTAAATTAATTAATTAATTACATGTCGTGATTGCATTGGTAAAGGTGTTTGATATTCATAGTAATATAAAAAATATATTGTAGAGGCTTTCTCTCTAGGCTAATAAATTCTTTATTTACATTCCATACAGCACATATTAATAATATTGCTGCAATATTATGGGCTGTATAGGATGAAGGAATTTGTAATAAAAATATAAATTATATAATAGTATATAATGAAGAAATATTTTATGATAAAATATAATACAATAACTTTATTATTATTGAACAAAAGATAATTATTTGCATTAGTAATCATGATATAGATTGAATTATCGTGTAATATTTGTAATGTATCATTTTCATTCTTTATTCATATATACATATATCGAGCGATTGAATGATATTTAGAGATGTTTTAAATTTTCTTTTTAAATTTTTGCGGTAAAAAGGAAATTTAAAAAATTCGAAAAAAAAAACATTTTAATACTTTCGAGGATATATATTTTAATAATTATACATTCGTCAATATATATCTTCTACAATAATAAAAGATCTAGATTACTTCGAGTGCACGCTTTAATTAATATGCCATGTAAAATTGATAATTTCATCTTGTAGTTATCTTACTATACCCAATTGTATCGATTGAGAAGGGGAAGGAAGGAGGACAGGATAAGATGTCCTATGTGTACCATTAATGGGAGGGTCAGGTGCATTCGATGCTTGTTTGTTGTTGAATTCACGCAACCCACAAATCCCTTGAAAGATACACACACACACACACATTTTGGGCGCATATACACATACATATATGTTACGCGTAGTATACGACAGGATTACGGAAAATGTCGCGACGTATGATATTAAATTTAACCTCGTGCTATTCACGTGCTAGGTGTGCTCTCAAGCATTTCCATTTATTTACATCGCAATTACTTTTGCTGCACTCGACCGTACGCAAGAGATTTTCTTGGTTTTCTTTGAACTTTGAGAGAGAGAGAGAGAAAAAGAGAGATATCTTTCACGTTTTAGTGTGTCTTTCGAGTTTTTTTTTATGTTGAAAAGGCTATCACAAAATATGATGTAAAATCTTTGCTGTAAAACTTGCCCGCTAAAACTTAAAATTAAGTAATAAAAAATAAAATAAAAAAATATAATAAAAAATATAAAAAAAGTATAAATATACGACAATGTAAAAAATAAAAATTTATGGAACAGAAGAATTAAAGAAATGAATGGATAATAAAGAAAATAAAAATAATCTATGTGAAAAAGAAATTTGCTTATTGACAGTTTTAAGTTGATTCTAATATATATAACGACTCTATTTTTTTGCTTTCAAAATAGATAAATATATATGTATCAGGCTATTGTAAAAGAAAGAATATAAATAGAAAGTTTAAAAAGACACGAGTCGCATTTGAAAAGTGGACAAACTCAATAATGGAACAGAAAGATAAACCTGATAGAAGGAAAGAGACAGAGTTCGAAGGAAAGAGACAGAGTTCGAAGGAAAGAGCTCCACCTTCAGTTGCATCTGCATTTTTATTCACATCAGACTTATTTTTTCCCGTCGACCTTAAATTTTCTGGACGATGTCACGCTGTGAGGCGCTTTGTTCAGTCTCATCAGGCGACACGACGAATAATCGCTCGGTCACAAGGAGGACACGTAATTCTCTATTTGCATTTCCACGATCGTCCATTTTAGTAGCATCGATTCTCGCGTGTTACGGAAGAGAACATCGTTTATCTTGTCAATTTAACAAATCGCTCTTACCATTTTCGAGTGCACCGTGTGATTCCGGGCGGTACATATGTGTCACCCGCATACC